CAACAATTACTATTTTTTGTATACTGTAGACCAATAATAAATGGATGAATTCTATTTTAATTAATCATACATGGTATATTCAAATTACCATTTCTGATTTAGTAAGTGGGTTTCTACCCCCACCATATTGAATCTGGTAATTAAAGATAACATGTCCAATTATTATTGGTTTACATCAGGAGAAATGAGGATGGTGTAGATCGTCGAGGACCTAAGTATTATTCTTTCTTTAAAAGCCCCTCTTATAGTTAAACTGAAATTCCGTAATTACTCCTTATAAATTTATTTTATGAGTGCCATATTTGTACTTTGAGGTTCTACTTTTGTGCCATTAGGTATCACTTTTTGTATATATTGGTACCAATTATGTACAAAACAATTTTAATTTCTACATCTAGTGCGAGGAAAAGATCAAAATTAAGCAGAGAAATATATATCAGTTGACAATCAAGAAAGAAATTTATATATATTAATTGGAATGAGCCACTCTTATTTAATTAGTGTTTACAACAACACGTAAGACTAAAACTTAGTCTGTAACTTATTTCTTGGAGCTCTCTTTCAGAAACAACAACATAACAATAATTAGTAGTAATTTTAGCAACAATGCTTAGAACCCTAACCAATCATAGGGACCCGAGTGACATTGCCTTTATTGTTAACCCAAACCCAAACCCTAGTACACACAAAATCTCCGGTAACAGACGATCCTTCTTTTACAATAATAGCATTCACCAAAGGATTCTCCTGCTCAATGGTTGCTGCAGCAGTCTCTCCTTTGACCCCGACGAGCTCCGGCCATGAACTCTTACCTGCATTTCATAGCCACATATTAAAACATGTACACATTAGATATACTACCACATTATGCAAGTACATGACTGCAATTCTTAGCAACTTTAAAGCATGTTTTTTTTTACATACCTTTACAATCTGTTGATGACATCCTTAGAAGTGTGTTATGCTTTGATTGATCTACTGAAATGTTACTTGGTCTTGTGATTGATTTGTTGTGATGAATAATAGGGTATTTATACACAAACATTGTGATAGCTTGTGGTTGATTTTTTTGACTTTGGATGGCCATTCACACGAAATGTGACAGTAATGTGTGTGTACATATCAAAATTATAGAGATTATCATCAATGAACCCCTCAACGTACATTGAAAGTCAGCAAAACTGATGGTGCTCCTCTGTTCAATAATTTGACTATTAGCTTTCGTACACAAGGGTTGGTAATTTTGCTACCAACTACTTGGATATTACGTACCATCACAGGTTAGCTAGCTAGTCAAATTTGGATATTACGTAACATCACAGGCTAGCTAGCTAGTCAAATTTTTTGTGATCTTCTCAACTGTTTTTTTCATCTAATAAAAACAATGCTCACTTGTATACAAAATGAGAAAGCACATAAAAGGGAGTAAAAGAATTAATAGATAATCAATCATCATTAGCCATTGTGATACATTTGAACGCGATTGAATTCAACTTGGATAAGGTGGGGTCAATCTTTTGAAATTAATTAACCAATTTAAATCCCACCATTCAACAGTTTCATACTAACATTTTGCCCTTAAAGTTTATGATATATATGTCAAATTTTTTGTGATCTTCTCAACTGTTTTTTTCATCTAATAAAAACAATGCTCACTTGTATACAAAATGAGAAAGCACATAAAAGGGAGTAAAAGAATTAATAGATAATCAATCATCATTAGCCATTGTGATACATTTGAACGCGATTGAATTCAACTTGGATAAGGTGGGGTCAATCTTTTGAAATTAATTAACCAATTTAAATCCCACCATTCAACAGTTTCATACTAACATTTTGCCCTTAAAGTTTATGATATATATATATATATATATATATATATATATATATATATATATATATATATATATCCTTAAACTAATAATATATTTACAAGCATAATACACTATCAATTTCAAATATTAGAATGACAAAATTGACTTTTTATTAATTTTCTTCAGGTGACATGAGTAGAATTCGTTGTGAGCTGCCTAATGACAAAGGGAGGGAATGTGTTATATAAATCTAACTTGGGTAAGGAAGGTAAAGTTTGATTATTTCTTCACGTAATACCAGAACATACAAAAAAAAGAAGAATAAATCTAGTTAGCTGAATAAGCTTAATTCCCCCGGTAAATAAGTATGAAATTAAAGGAAAAAAATTATAGATGGTACTTGGGCACCAAGAAGAAATTGGCCATAAGCCCAACAGGGCATTAGAGGATTAAAAGTTCAAAACAAGACAGGCCCAAGCAGCCCAACAATCAGCTACGTAGTAAATAATGGATCACTAGATTTTGCTTTAATTACATCTTGTAGAAAGAAAATTAATAAAACGTAGTAAATAATATTAATGAAGCTAATCTTACTTAGCGTTTATTCCAAAAGGCCCTTTCACATACGTCAATAAAACATAGCAAATAACAATCGAAATCTAGCCAATATGAGGTACCCTTGTAACAATATTATTCTTATCAATCCAAACGCGAACTCTATTGCTCCGATATTCTTCAGTAACACGTATTCCTCCATGCAGAAAGACAAGATTCACCTCAGGATTATCCCTCAAGATCGTCAGAATTGCGGTACCTTTAGATTCACCAACCAGCTCCGGCCACGAACTCTTATTTGCATCGCCACAAAAAACAAGTACTCCATAAAAAACAAAACAAAAAACAAAAAGAGATTTACAGTACCGTGATGACATTCTTGTTTTTACAGTACTTCGTCTTGTTATTGATTTGTTGCAGTGAAAGGCATTTATATATGCAAAAATTAGGTGTTAGTCCTTAGTAGGTATGAGTTGGTTTTGTTTGTGAAAAGTGGTCTCTTTTTTTTCGGAACTGCTCAATTATAATCGTGGGTTGTTTGGGTTTATTGTAGATATTGGGTAGTTAAGGAGAACATGGGGAGTTGAAATGAAATACTAGTGGTCGAGAAATATAAATAAATGTCACATTGTGGCTGTGGGTGAGATTTTTTTAGAAAATTTTTTTAATTTGGATTTGGGTTGATTTGCATGTATTTCTATTCAATTTTAAAGTAGCTGAAACTTTGAATTCATCTTTCGATTTATTTTGTTTCAATTAGCTTGTGCATTCAAACACACTTTAATTTAGCTAGAAATGTAACTTTGGTTGATATATTTTCATTAAAGCAGTAGAGAAATGTCACCTGAACCATTATTTGTTGCAGTTTATCACGAAAATTGACCAGGTCTGTGTTAATCAAACCACTCTAGCTTATTCAGCATTTATTACAATGCGTGGTGAATTTGAACTACTTTATTTATTTATTTATTTGGGGCTAGCTCTTTCACATACACTAATGTCACACTAAATAAATAATAATCAGCAGTAAAAGCAGTAACATTCCTTGGACCCTAGCCAATTATAGGTACCCTTGTAACAATGTCATTGATCTTATCAACCCAAACACGAACTCTAGTGCACACAAATTCAAGAGTAACAAATGTTCCTTCCAACACTATCACAGCATTGACCCAAATATTCTCCTTCTCAATCGTCCCTGCAACACTATTTCCCTGTGCACCCATGAGCTCCGGCCACGAACTCTTACCTGCAGATATGGCCACAAAAACATGTGTTACCTAGACTATACTATACTATATATATATATATATATATATATATATATAATACACAATTGAAATTCTTAACTAGCTCTATAAAGCTGTTCCGTACCTGCACATGACATTCTCAGTGTTTTGTGTGTTTTTTTTTTTTTCTCTTGTAATGACACTCAAATCGTTTTGTTATTGATTTGTTGTAATGAAATTGGTATTTATACACTTAAATTTTATTTTTTTATTTTTCCGGAAAGTCAAGCAAGTATTTATAGACTTAACATTATGATAGCTGCTGGTGGCTGGTGTTTTTTGACTTCCAATGTGAGAATGACCACAAATAACTGTCTGCTTGTTCATATGTCAAAATTGCAAAAGTTATGATCATCTAAGATAGCCTGTTCAAGTAATGCACGGGTCTCTACCACAACAATTTGACTATTAACGACTAGTTTTGCAGAGTGATTGCACATATTTGGAGTGTGCAAATCATCCGAGAGTCCCATAGTAGCTAACAGGGTGGGTTGATTCTTTGTTACCAAAAAAAAAACATCCGACTGCTAGTAACTGCACATTAAAATGATGATATTATCATAGATTGGGTTGAATTCAGTGCCTAAGGCGAGGACTAGATTGGTTTGAATTCAATGCCTAAGGTGAGGATAGTCTTTAGTTTGACTTTAAAACATATTTGGATCAGAGTCAATTCAATAGTTTCAGTCTGGCAATTAAGAATGTTTATGTTTGGGTTGATTTAGTTGCTTGGATTGGTTTGGGCATTCACTCAAACACACATCAAACTAGCATAAATGTTCAAGTAGCAAGGCATTCAACATTATAGCATAAATACTGTGTGGAACACCAAATCGTTACACTTTGGACAACTTAAAAAATACTATGTGCCTTCTATAGAAGGCAAGAGAAGATAACACACCTAAAATTTATGGTATAATCGGCTATTAGAAATAATTTTAACAACTTCAGTATAATCGGCTAGTTGTAAATAGGAAAAAATAGGATTCATGTGGCCAACCCCCATTCATGCAGAATTAACGGAAGGATGATGATGCCAGAGATCTTAGGATTAAACCCATCTAGAAACTTCTCAAGGGGATGAATGTGTTTGGAATTAGATTTAAGAGCAAATCAACCTTTGGACAGATTAATATTAGGTACAAAAAAAACTTTCAATAAAGCAGAAGAGAAATGTCACATAGACCATTATTTGCTGCAATTTCCAGTGTTATATAGTAACAAATTAAAACCACAAAAACAATTTAAACTTTCAATAATCCACAGTAGTCAACACAACAAATCATAAGAGAGAGTAAAGGGTATTTGGGACATCAAGATTAACCAAATTGAAGCCAAAAAATTGGGATTAACAATTAGAACATTGTATTTGAGGAAAACCATCTTTGAAAGAACTTACACCAAGCATTACAACACTCATTTGCACACACTCTCACTATATATCAGTCCCAAAACAGGGACCATTTCCCTCAAGCACACTTCCATAGCGTACATATCACGAGCGTGAAGGAAAAAAAAAATTAAAAGAATACAGACAGGAATTGAATACCAATTACTGATGATTGAAATTTAGGAGTTACTGAAACTGGTGGCAATGGGGATGATGATTACAAGAACAAGTATGAGGAGAAGTATTATCCCAATACACATACACTTCCGGCTGCTCTTCTGGTAGCCTTTCGCAGTCTTAAGGTTCTTAGTCCCATCATTGACATACTGCGCGGCGTTCATCACATGGTGCTGGATGTTGTCCATCTGCTCGCCCTGCGCCTCCACCATCACCGCCATGTCCAAGAACACCTGGTGCAGTTCCAGCAGAGTCTTCTCTATCTCCTTGGCCGCGTCGTGCCTGTCCTGTATCTCCACCACTGTCTCTAGCACCTTCCCCCTCCCATGCTCCTGAAACCAAAAGAGTTGTGCTTTATGAGCCTAAACTTCAATCCAAATTTAACTTGTTCCCAAACTAATATTACAAGTAGGATACACATAACATTTCAACCGCACAAACGCTATGTCTAGAGCACGAAATTGGTACCTGAGCATTGAATTTGCCAAAAAAGACCAAAGGCAAACTAACTCATGAGCTTAAACTTTAAGCCAAATTTAACTCATTCACAAACTAGGGTACGCATAACATTTCAATCACACAAACCATACGTTTAGAAGCACAAAATTGGTACCTTAAAATTGAAATTGCCAAAAAAAAAAAAAATTAAGAACAAAGGAGTAACAAACTAAACTCATAAGCCTAAACTTTAAGCCAAATTTAACTCATTCCCAAACTAGTATTACAAGTATGGTACTCATAACATTTCAGTCGCACAAATCCCATGTTTAGAAGCATGAAATTGATACCTTGGAATTGAAAGCACAAAAAGGACTAAAAAAAGACCAAAGGCAGTATCTTGGTGGTCTCTCCTCGATCTCCTAGTGTGGAAGGTGAGGGTTCAGTCTCCTCGGGGACAAATGGGTGTTTCTTACCAATGAAAAAAAAAAAAAAATTAAAAATGTAATTCAAACTTTAAAACTAATTTTACTCCCGATTGCAAAGTGTCAATCCAGTACTTTCAAATACAAAAAATAAAAATAAAACTCATTCTTAAACAACTTTCTCAGCATTTTTAATCCAAAAAATGTATACATTTATATGGATGGTTATATCAATAGATGTCAGTGCAAGGATATATAGCAGCAATATAGGTATATATCAATTCAGGTTTATTGGATACCTGTATGGCTCTGGACAGGAACTCCTCTCCTCCTTGGCCTCCATCATTGGAGATAATCTTCTCAATCACCTCCTCGTCCGGGTACTCTCCGGTGACAGTGAAGTACCTCCTCCTAACGGTCTCATTATACTCTGACATCATCCTCTGTCTCAGCCCCTGAAATTCCATCATAAGCTCCTTGAGCTTATTCCTGAGCCCATTGGTGACGGCTGACCTAGTCCGGTCAATTGGAGTGCCTTCTTTGCAGCCGGAGAGGCGCCTGCTCACGGCATTGGCACGGTCCATGTCTTCCAGCTGGGACCTGATGGTCCTGGCCTTCTTCAGCACGGCCAATACGTCGGCATTGATGCGACTGCGCAGCGATTTTAGGGAATCTGGCTTGTGCAACGACTTGCTCTCTTCGTTGGCTTGGTGTAGACGGCCCAAGATGTCTCGGATTGACCCCATCTCCTTCTTCACCTTCTCGGCCTCCTCCAAGAATGCGCTCAGGTTATTGTCCATCTGGGTTGTCGCCGCCATCTCTAGATCGGGACCAGCTTCGAGATCTTTCATGGCCTCTTTCTTTAGATCCACGTAGCTGATGAATGATTTTGTCATCAGATCATTCATCTTTTGAATTCAGAAGTTCAGATATATGTGTGTGTAGAGAGAGAGAGAGAGAGAGAGATCAAAATGGAAATTCAAAATATCAGATTGGAAAGAAGATGGGAAGTGGGTTGGGAAAGAAGCTTAGCGAGAAATGGAGTGAAATAAACTATCAATCAGTGAACTGTTAGAAGAGTTGAACGGAGGCTTTAAAAGTACCTGATTTTGACAGGCATCAGAAAACTAGCCGTTGTGGTTACCAACGGCTATATTTTAAATCAAATGATGTTTTGTTAATTTGATAATATTTTTTTACTTTTTGGGTTTCTTTTTCTAATAAATTACACGTTGACCCCTTAAACTTTATGGATGGTAAAATACATTACATTCATTTTTTTTTTTCCCGAAATATATAATTGTATATATGTACATTACATACTTGTGTAACTTTATAAATAGTTTGTAAAATACATTACAATTTTTTTTTCCTTGAATATATATACACACATTACATTTTCAGTCACATATACTATTTTTGCCTTAGTGCACTGTACCCTCTAGTTTCAAATCATTGCACAATACCCTCTCTCATTTTTATTTATTTATTATTATTATTATTATTATTATTATTATTATTTTATTATTTTATTTTTTTTGTAAGCAATAAAGAACCTCTATTTATTAACTGTTACAATTTACTCTTTTTGGGTGAAGGACATCCAACTCCAATTGTTAAACTAGTCACATGAATGACACATGGTACATCAACTAATTATTTTTTATAAAATTACCCTTTCAAATGCTAATCATATCCTTCCTAATTAATTTTACAAAAATAATTTGACCCAAACACGACCCAACCTTTATCTGTGCCATATCTTCCCTCCAAATGATCACGAATTGTTTCCAATTCTTGAAAAAAAAGGTTGTGATAACAGCTATGTAGAACATTTCAATTCATTTGGATATATAAGAGATAAAGAAAAGGAATGTATTCCTTTCCTTCCAACCTTCAATTCAAGTACATTGATTGATAGAGTTATGGCATAAGCTAAAACAAGATCATAAAACAGGATTTATGTAATTAAGTTTTACCCAATTTGTATTGTATGTCCTCAAGGAGTAGGTAGAGATTTATTATTATTATTATTATTATTTTCTCTCAGTTTCTCAACACCAATGGGACCCATCTTTCAACTTCTTCTTCTTTTTTTTTTTTCATCTTTCTAATGATGCCAATGAATAAAGGAATTTTTACCAATGCATGAGCTTAAGGTCCAAATACTACAATGTAATGATGCCAACTTCTTGATTTATCAATAAAATGAGGGGATTACACAAACTTTTTCTTACAAATGAAAGGACCACACAATTATTTCTCTAAAATGGACTCATATTCTACTTTAGACCACACAACAAGTTATATTGTCACTTTGACCCAACAGAATATATGATTATATCATAAAAGCTTTAAAACATAAAATAAGCTTATTGAAAGATTCTTGAATAAATGTTTTAATATTTTTCCCACTAAATTAAAATTCGCAATAGATTAATATGGACTTATAAACTTTTTTAGACAAAAGATCTTATATATAAATTAAATTTAACGAAACAGTAGGGGCTCTAATACCAAAATTGAGTTGGATCCAACACAATAGAAGCATGCAAAATAAATATAGAATAAATTTAACAATTAAATCACAGAAATGACTATAGAACCTGATAACGCTCTGATAACATCCTGTAAAAACATCTGAACACCGGCAAGAACGGGCCAACAAGCCAACAGTTCGAGTCAACTCACAGAAGAAATTGCCAAATTAATTTTAATGTTGCTTGTACTGGTTGGATTCAAGAAAATTCTAGGATCTACACTTTCTGGCTAAATAAAATCTATATATTTGATCTTTTTGTCGACAGAAGTCTTTTGCCCGAAAGTACTTAAAATACTAAATTGAGATTAGAAAGTTTTGAATAAGAACAAACTGGATAATTTATTTCATATCTACATGGATAGACACTGTTTATACATGGATACACTCTCACACTATATTTTACAAAGAAAATATACTGAAAGAAGTTACAAAACACACTGGAAACTAAAGGCTAGAATGTTTGATGGTTCTAGACTTGATTGCTCTAAAACTCGATGATCTTTGCTTAAGCAGGGAAGTTCTTTTTATAGAAGAGGAAAGGGATGAATCTTCGGCTGAGCTTGAAGATGCTGCATAGACGGTTGAGATTCAAGATGTTTTAGAGATAAGATGGCATGAATTATTGCTGAACTATTGATATCGGCTTCTGGAGAATTTTATCTACTTTTACTGTTGAAAATCTACTTTCGGTGGATCTGCTTTTATCTGTAAACTGTTGCAAATCTACTTTTCTTGGATGCTGAAGTTGCCTTTATCTGTACATTGTGGCAAATATGTTTTTCCTTAGATACTTTTAGAATTCTTGCATATTAGACAAATTTCTGTCGGTAATGCTATCTGTTGGGCTGTCATTTCTTTCTCTTTCATGCATGCGGGCCAAATATGCATCAGTGCTGTCTGGTGAGCTGGTTTCTTCATTTCTATAGGCGACTTCAAACTGTTCCAGCAACATTTTTTCTTCATTTATAATTTCTTCAACTTCTGGAAATATCTCAATCTTTGGAGGAAACTTAATGACATGCGTAATTCTTACTTTGACAAAAAATTCCATGTTTATATTATGGTCGTAGAGTCTGAAACCAGGATTGTAGTTTAGATTAACCTGTTGATGAGCTTTATAGTATACCAAATGGTTAAAGGTAGCTGGTTCTATCTCAGTATGAAAGTTATTTACAAAATCAATATGTCGGGTAAGAACTTTGACTTCTATGGGATCAAAATGAATGCAAATTCGATGTTGTCCCAGAATTATTGCTCCATCTTTTACCCATTCTGGCCGGGGGAGTACTGTGGATTTGAAGGAGAATTGGGCTTTCTGACATGAAATTATGAGTTAGTTTCTATTCGAAGGCAATGACTTGGTTTAAACGGTTGGGAAAGTTACCTAAAGAATTTAGATATTCTAATGGCATATCTTTTGGTATGGTGATGTTGTAGATCATTCTTAATTCTAACAGCTTGCTTAAATAACAGATGATTGTTTTTATAGAAAAATGGATTTTTCTGGTTATTTCAAAAGGATAGAAGAAAACAATGTCTACATCTAACAAGATAATGGTCATGGGTACTAGGTTTCCTATTTGTATAAACCGTAGGAAAAAATAATTATAACGGATTCCTTTGGGTGGACTATTATTTCTGAGGTAATTTTGGATATCAACCCATTCCTTGAGCCCATCTGACTTAATTTCTTCAAGGATAAGTTATTTGATGTCTTCAGGAAAGAGCTCAACTTGTCGTCTCAGGATTTCTCTGTATGTGGGAGAAAACATGGGTAATAACTTGGTGCACTTGGTTTGTACCTGCAGAAATTGAACTTTCTGAAAATTTTCATCTTCATCAGTCTTATGCTCAGAAATAGTTAGCTCTGTGGGATTTGCTGTTGTTTTTTGATAAGCCAGATTCAACTTTTTATAATGAGATATAAGCGTCTCATGTTCTTACTGTAAATTCTGATATGTTTTATTAGATAATACAAAATATTCACTTAAAGTATTTAGATTTCTGACGAGGGTTTTATCAGGGTTGTTTCTAGAAAACCAAATATTATCTAAAATAAGTTTTTGGTCAAGAAAAAAATTTTGTCTAGCGCAGAACTATTGAGCTGAGTTTTGGATAATCAAAAGAGGATTAGAAATGCCTGGTATAAGGCTATAACTGTTGTTGCTCTTTGTTTCCATTCCTGCAAAATTTAACAATCAATTAGTAAACTAGATAGAATATTTGCTAAATAATTGTCTTTTCCTTTAACATGTTCAAATATAGGTTTAAAACCTCTTCCAGTAATACAGTCAATAAAGGAAATCCATCTTTTTGCAGACATCCGTTGTTACTTTGCTTTGTTTGCAAATTTAACTATGTTATCACAATCTGTTCTTATAAGAAATTCTTTGTCAAGGAATATCTGAAATATTTCAATAGAGTTGGTTACTCTTAAAATTTCTAGATCTGTTGAAGGTAAAGTAGATTGTGCTTTATTAAAAGTTCCACTAGCATGGCGACAAATTTGTTCTTCGTCTCGGGAAGATTCTTTTGTAGGTCTTTAAAGAAATAAACCTGCCCATCCTTGAGCTAATGCGTTTGTCTGGATTATTTTATAACTATTTTCCAGTGGAAGTTGTGAGGGTTCTAACTGGGTGACTAGAGATTTAATTTTCTTAACTAATTCTACGTCTTGAGTATTAAAATATTTTTGTCCATGTTTACCTAATTTTGAATACAAAGGTCTACTAACTGTCCTAATTTTGAAATAAAATTGCGACCATAGTTTAATAATCCTAAAAATACTTGTAACAACTTGGTTTCTTCTAATTTATCATAAAAGTCTAAAATCTTTTTGACAATATGAGATTGTAATTCTATTTTTCTATCCTTTATGTATAAACCTAAAAACTTAATATCTTGTTTTTCTAATATCATCTTTTTTACTATTTATAATGAGTCCTTGTGTTATAAATTCGTTGAATACAAGTTCAAGATGTTTTCTATGGTCTTCTTTAGTTTGACTGAAGACTAGAATATCGTCTATGTAAACACAACAGAATTTTGAATGTTTATTGAATATAGTATCCATTTTTCTTTGAAATTCTTGTGGTACATTTTTTAATCCAAAAGGCATGACAAACCACTCATAATGTCCTTCAGGACATGTGAACGCTGTCCATTCAATAGATTCATTAGCCATACGGATTTGCCAAAATCCTGATTTACAGTCAAATTTAGAGAACCATTTTCTATCTTGTATTTGATTTATTAAAACATTTTTATTAGGGATTTTGTAACAGTCATCGTATGTATTATCATTTAATCTTTTATAATTTATAACCATACGAGTTTTTCCTCTTTTTATTTCGGCATGATTTCTAACCATAAAGGCTGGACTCCTATGTCTATTGTTGCTTTTTCATATTACTTTTAGTAATAAAAGTTCTTTGATTTGTTTTTAGAATTCTTCTTGATCATCTAAGGTATAAGGATTATCTTGTGTTTTTATAGTTATAAAATGATTTATTATATTTAATTTGGCTTCGATTTTATTTTTGTACCAGTGTTTCTGGGGATTTTTTCCAAAAATTTCAGTAGTTTCAGCTAGTCTTATAAGATTATCAATGTTTAATTTAGAATTTTTTAATATAGCTTTATTATTGAGTAAAATCTTGGGTTCCTCTAAGTGATTAAGAAACATTAAGGCTTCAGAAACATCTTCTACAAATTCTGTTACATCAAATAAATTTTTGATTTTTTCTTCTGTCATAGGTAA